CCGTCCAGGCATTTTAGGGATGGGAGGTCAATGGTTTCCCGATTAGGGCATGGGTTTACATGGGTACCCAAAGGGGGGGAGAGATCCCCCCCCCCCCCACGAGAGCCTGGTCCGGTGAGAACCCGGCGTGCTCCGTCCCGACTTTGTAGCGATGCGATGCGAGGTCAATGGTAAAACGAACACGGCATGCACGACTATGAGGTACCCCCTCCCCCGAGATCGATTTTCAAAGCTCGACTGCTCCACATCCAAGCTCGTGACAGCACCAAAACATGGTGGTTTTTGGAAACGTATCTCATGGACGTCTTTCCTTCGATGTATCGGGCTACAACCCACTCACTTGTGGAGCAGTCGAGCTTTGACAGCCGGCCTAGAGGGGTAAACCATCTCTTCCGGCACAACCCCCTGCACAACCTTGGGACACCGAAAATACAAACACCCTGCGCATACTGTTACCTCTGCCAGCCTAGCGGAGCGGTGATTCCCCGGGCAGTGCCGGGCGTGGCACATAAGCACCAGCAGCTTGGCGGCCTGGTCGGAGTCCAGGGTAGGTCCAAGCCCGCTGCCGTCGCCGCCCGACATGCTTCCTCCCGCGGACAACCCTTGCCGCTGACGGTCGAGTGAAACGGTGGGTGGATGGGTGGGCAAGTGGGTGGCGTTGGTTATATCCCTTTTACCATCGCATTTGCCGCCGAACGTGGAGTGAAATGGTGGTTGGATGGATGAGTAAATTGGTGCCGTTGGTTTTCCCTTACCGTCGCATCCATAGGAAAGCCGAAATCAAACCATTTAGACGTGTCAGTGGGCAAGCGATGCTGACAATCGTCTAAAGTTTTGATGTTGGCTTCTATAATATCGAAGCAAAAAAAAAAAATGTCCCCGGAGTGCAACAGAAGATCGCTATGATTTGGAGGCGCTTGGCGCTGATAGCATTCTACGCACGCTCGGCTGCAGAACCAACCCACTGCCGACAGGCGCCTTTCTGAACCTGGTTCAGACGACTGTGCGGAACCACGTGTTGTCACGATCGCTTGTCTACGCAATATCGCCCCGCGGTCACGCAAGTGTCGAATACGACACAGAGGGGTATGGGAGAGAGACACACAAAGAGAGAGAGAACGAGACACACACACAGACAGAGACAGAGACACACACACAGAGACAGAGACAGAGACACACAAACACAAAGAAAGCCCCAGCAAAACACGCAGACCGCAAAAGAGTACCCCGAAGAAAGCACACACACTTGAAGCGTTCGGAAGAGGCGGCAGCAAACGCAAGAGCACCAGCAGCACAGGTGGCTACCATACCTCGTCCCCCGAGTACTCGTCGCCGGAGTTTTCATCGCTCGTTTCCCCGTCCCAGTCCATGCAGCTGCCATCGCCGTCAGAAGCATTCTGCAAGGCAAGCAGGCCGCATCGCGAAGGCAATTAAAGAAGGTTGGGTCTAGCAACACACACGCGCTTACCAGAACGTGCGAGGTGTGGAATGTTAAGGACGGCCGTAAACATGCACGGGGTGGAATGTCGAGAACGACACCAACTTGGTGCGTTGGTGTAGTCAATGCTGCTACCATGCGCTTCATGGACGCTAACCTGAAGAGACACATAACGCAGATGCCGTCCACCTATTATAGCTGCACGTACAGAATGGGTGGGCGTTAACGTCACATCCTACGCTTGGGAGTAATCAATCAGCAGAGCCTGTGGGGGTATACATGCAGCACCGGTCACTACTATTGTTCATCCCGCACGGTAGGCGGAGGCAAGCCGACCAGTATAAACGAAGCACAAGATAGCAGGATAAAGGTGTAGACTGACACAACCAAGGCCCATGCCAGACCGTGCTACTCGGTGCCAAACAGCAGCAGACGGCTTCAAGTCCGCCGTCAAAATCAGAGGTGACGTGGGGACCACATGTCTGAACATTCGTTTGTCGCGACCAGGGGTGGCTCACACGCGAGTCCAGACTCCCCCCCCCTTAACAAAAAAGGGGCAGCACCCCCCCTGGATAGGGAAATAATGTTTTAGTCACCTTTGGCAAAGTAGGAAGGAACGACTGCCATCTGTGATCGGTCCTGTGGGAACAACGCTACGTCCTCTCGAGGACGCGTGGTCAATGGTCTAACCGTAAAGGCATCCAAAACATAAGAGTACGCCCGCCCCCCGCCCCCCCCCACACGCGCCCACCTCCGTCAGAAACGCGATGTGACTCTCGACGTTGTTGGTGGGATTCAAGATGTCCACGCGAGGTATTTGCATCTTGTGGCATATCGGGCACTCCTGCCTCACCAGCAGCCACCTTAAGCCGACAGATTATTGTCACGACCCGGGGAGTTGAAAGAAGGAGCAGCATCAGACGTGACAACACAGCAGCGGAGTGGGGCACGCAAACAGTACCGTATTGTAGCGCGGGGCAGGTGTTAAGACTGAGTGCGCTCGTTCATGGGGCGCCAAGCACACCCATCCCAGCTTGAGCAAAAAAGTAATTCTTGTGCCACGCACGAGCGTGAGAAGCCAGCTTACGGATAGCGAAACAGGTCTGGGAGAAGCGGCCGGTGGGCAACGGTCGCGAAAATCGATCGAACCGGTTTTCCGGGGTACTGCTGTATGATGGCAGGCCCACGGAAAGCCTTTCCTGGAGCGTACCAGATAGCAGGGTAAACAACAAATCCTCGCCAAAAAAGTAGGCGCAATCTTTCCAAGACGCCGTTTAGCTACCCACGTACGCTTCGGGCTTCGTTTGAAGATCACTTCCCCGAGAGCTCTCCTCTCGATTGGACAAAACTTGTTCTGAAACAACTCGGTGGTGACGCGGCACGATCTCCCGGAGAATCGGCTCAACGAGCACCGCATCGCCAAATCGGTAACGGCACCGCCGTATTGCACTTGTCACATGCCGCGATTTGTCGTATCCCTCCTCGCATGGCCTGTGCGTGCCTGTGCAGCAGCCAACCATCTAAGGCGTTGTCTGTATTTGTGACCCCTGCCATACACAATTAACCCCAACACGAAACACCAGGGGTCTTTCCCAGCAAGCGCGACACACGATAACCCGGCGGTACGGCAACAACTGTACGGGAACGATACCGCCTACAACAGAAAAGCGGAAAATACACCCTCTCTTATGTTGCGCTCATCACGCGAAAGAACGCCTCACCATGGGTTTCCCGACACCGTCGCCGCGTAGCTCGCCGCGCACGCCCCGCACTGGTACCTCACCTCCCGGGGCTGCAGGAGCGCCGCCGGAAATCCGGAAGATCTCCGCCGTTTCGTCGGCCGAAGCGGCGCCAACAACATACCCCCCCCCCCCCCCCCCCCCCCCCCCGGGCTTCCTTTTTTTTTTC